ATATATATATATATATATATATCTCAGACTGTAAGTTTACATTCTCAGAACTGCTTAAGGCAAGCAGCTCACAGTAGCACAGGAATCCTGAAACTAACTCAGAAATTCTTCATATTCTCCTTTGACTCATGTAAATAGATCACAAGGGTCAAGATCCCGAGGCATTAGGTGAAATATTTTTGATGGAAAACATCAAAAATATACATGGAATGTCAGAAATTATTCCTTTGAAACATCACCTTTCAAATGTTTCCTTTTAAACCAATGCAGAGAAGGATCAGGTGACACGGGATGATAAACACTGTCTCTGGGTGTTCGTGCAGTACCTGGTATAATGTGGCCATAGAGGCACCACCCTTCACTCAGCACTACTGGAGCTCCAGGGGCTTTTTATGGTTTCTGACCTTGCGAGTCATTAGGGCATAGTTCGGAATACAGCTATTACATTTCTCAGCAGCTGCCACTTGCAGCAATCTACCACCAATGCATTTTTTTGTTGAACTTCATAAATACTGAACTAGCTTACAGAATATTCAGCAAACAAAATGATATACCTTAAGAGTTAAAAAAATAGGTTACAGATTTTCATGCACCGGATTCTGTGAGCTGTGCCGTCCTAGCTGAGGAGGACTGAGGTGTCAGCATTCACAATGCCAGTAAGAACCCTTGCTAATTTTCTACAGAGCTGTGATTTTGCATCTGTCAGCCAAATAATATAACAAAGTCTCATTTAGAAGTGTTCTGAGACTTGGTGAGTTTGAGTATCTTTTGGAAATAGTCACATACTCTCAAGGAAAGGACTGAACTGAATCTTAGCTCTCCATCATTCTAGATGAATGCTTCAGTCAGTCTGCTACCCAGGTGGCTGCAGGCATCAAAAATCAGATGTCTGCCAAAATCAAGGAGGGAACATTCCCTATATCGTAATTTTCTGCTGGAGCATTAGCTATGAGCACCGTGACTCTTGTGGATCTCATTCTTAGGTGCATGCATTTATGAAGAGTTCTAGCTGGGGGTTCTGTCTTTGAATGTTAGGTCTTGCAGCAGTGAACCTATGCCTGTTTCATGCATCACCTCTATTCCTCCCATCTCTATACCTGTATTGCAGAAGTACTTTACCTCCCAAAAATACAAACTTTTTATAAACTTCAGCAAACTGTTTATTCATTTAAACAGTATCTTCACTCCAGCAAGCCTTCCCCAAGCGTAAAGCACACCCACAGCAGGTCACAAACTATCCCTAACAGTCGATTTAAAAAAAAAAACAAAACAAAAAAACACCAAACCCACAAATTAAAAAAAAAAAAAAAGTATTTATTTGCATTGTAGCTATCTTGGACTAACAATTTTGTTTTTACAAAATATTTCAGGAGGAGTCGTAGGCAAGACGTGAGACATGGAAACCCTCTGACTCAGTGCCGAGGTTTCAACCTGAAAGGTACTGTAATTTAGAGATCCTCGTGCTATATAAAGAACACATGGCTTTCCTTTGTGTGATTCATCGTAACTCACATTATCTCTCTGGTTTACTGGTAAAGTGTAACTATTTTCCAAGTCTGAGTTTTGCTTTGATTTGATTTTGATGTCTTTCCTTGCAATTACATTAAACTTGCATATATGTGATAAAGGGATGAACTATGAAATACATGGTTCAACGTACATGAAATAAGAAGCTGACAGTGTTGACTAGAAACAGATACTGTAATTTGAGGACTATTCTACTTCTAAATCTGTTCAGTCTTTATTAATTCCTCTTCAGGCATTTAAGTTTTGTACATCAAAATTATTCAGCATATTTGATGCCATATTGTGTTTTGGAGCACACCTTTCAGCTCAACTGGTCTTTTGAGTTATGGTTATTTCTTTCTCCCTTTACATGGGAAAATAAACCATTTAAAATTTCTTTGTGAAGTCCCTTATTTCCAGCTGTGCAACTGTTTATTCAGTCTGGCATGTTGCAGGTGAACAGGGGAGACAATGCTCTGCCCTCCCAGCTACAACATTCTCCAGATCAATAGACACTAGACGATGATTACCAAGACCATAGTAAGAGCAGACACATACATAAAGGCACCTTAAGTTTCTTCAGCCCCATGCATTTCTGAGCTAGGCTGTGGCAATGTATGCCATCAAACCAAGGACACACATTAGAGAATTATGCTCCTTTCACTTTCTATTTCTGAACTTGCATGTTGAAGTGCATTCTCATCTGTACCATTTGGAGACCAGCTAATAGACCTGATTGCAAATTTTTGATTGATTTTTTTTTTTAGTAAAAGAACAATGTTTTAAGAATTATGTATGAATTGTTCAGTTAATAATAATTACACTGAAATAGTCTCTGCTGGATCTCGTAAGTATTTCCTGGATCAAAACCAGACCACAACAGTCAGCTAGGTGTAGATCCCTCAGACCTAACGTAGCTAATCTTGCTCTAGCTGCTCAGTTCCAGCAGGTCTTTCCCCATGATTCAGTGTTAAGTCATTTATATATAGCTGAACAGCTTCAACAGGTAATTACAAAAGATGATCCCACCATTAGACTATGCACCTGAGCTCTAAGAGATCCATATTAAAACTTGGACTCTGAATCATGAAGTAACTTGAGCTGCGTGCCCTACCTTGCAGGCCTGTGCTGTGGCCATCCACACATTGTCTGTGCCAAGGGTGGGCATCTCCTCGTTCGGTGTGGAAAATGTGAGAAAGCCAGCTGTCTGCTTTCTGGGCTGAGGGGAAACAAAGTTTTAAACCTTGACAGTCTTGTGAAACAGGTTTCTTTTTTTCCAAACTTTTTTTTTTTTTTTTAATGTGGGTATATTTATAGTTTTATGTGTTTTAGCACCTTCATAAAGGTTATTTTGTTGACAGCAGTGGGATATAGCATGGATAGATGGCAATTGTTTCCCCAGTGGAAATAAAGATTAAAAGAAAAAGCAACTTAAACTCTTTCAAAATATAATTAAAGCTATTTATAGCAAAACTATCGTGTTTGGGGAAAAAGTGACAAAAAAGGACAAAAGAGCAGAGAGTCAGGAAGCAGCAAGTAATCTTCCAAGTTCATAGGGAATGATAATTTTCAGATGTAGTCATTAAACATGACAGGTTGCATGCCTTAGACCTCTCAGCATGTATAAACTCACTATGTCTGTCATATTGAAATTTTTAAATAGATTGTCAAGAACTAAGGGACTTGTCTGATTGCTTTGCAAATTTCTGTTTAATATTATTATGCTTGTGTTAGCCCTTATGGCTATTAGAGAAATGCATTTGTATTCTCTCTTTTTTTCTTAGCACATATAAGCAGTAGTAGTAGTAGTATGGAAAATTTCAGTTGAACAGACAAAAATGCCTTTCTTTGGTACACCTAGTTGCAGTGTACATAAAAATAATAATGCTTTACACGTTAGATTCTCACTGTTCCACACCTACAGTCCACAGATTAAGGTCTTTGGTACCTTATGGTCTTTGAATGAAAAATATTTCCACATAATATTCCTAAAAATTGCAAATGATTTTGGTGCAACCTCAAAAATGTGCTAGAAACTTTGAAGGACTAGAACCAAGCAAAGTATCCTTCCCTTAGTAGAATAGATTCCAATTTTGCGTATCAGTTGATGAAGGAACCTGAAGAGAATGGGACATGAACTATAGTCTGAGGAAAACCAATCTTAGGACTGCAAAACCAGTCAAATTTTAGAGCTGTAAGCTTCTAAGTATTTGCATTTGTCATATTATTTGGTATCCATTGCTTCTTTGTGAAAAAACAAAACAAAACAAAGCAAAACAAAAACAAAAAACAAAGTATTTCCTATATGATGTAAGCTTTTAAATCTGGAAGTATATTGCCGGGAAAAATACTATCATTTAGGCCAAGCAGTGATCATCTAAGAGTTCCTGTCAGTAGCTGCCAGTTGTTCATCTTTCAAGACTGCAAAGGAGCGCGGCAAGTCTGAGCAATGACACAGCACAGCGCTGGCTCAGGTGTTGCTGGAGTGCTGTAAATCTGTGCTGCTCTCTGTTGACAGGCTCTGGCCTGTCTAGGTATTCGTTGCTTTTCGGATTCGGAGCCAAGACCCTTCCTGGCTTGGAAGGAGGGGGAGCCGAGCCTGCCCTCTCCTGCCTCCCTGGGATACTGCAGGCAGCCGGAGCAGACGCAGCCTTCGTTAGGGATGCTGCTGCTGTTTTCAGTCATACCACCATATGTGTGCTGTGTGAAGAAATATATTAAATGCTTCCTTCTCCTTTGGCTAGTTCTAGACAGGCATTCTTGTAGCAATAAAGTGTGAGACCGTTTCAGGGAACAGTCCCAGCAGCAGAGTTTACCAGCCTACATGTATCCTGCTTTCTCCCAACTGATCCTGACAGATTGGAAACACTGGTAGTTCGATCTGGATGTGCTTCTTCACATTTCGTTTCATGTCTTTGAAAATTTTTTTTGCACTAAATTATTTATTAATGACAAATATGAGGATCAGATATGGTTCATTTCACCTGTATTGCATTTTGCCTGCGTTGCAAACAGTTACTTGCTTTCTGTATTGCAGCACTATCCACAGGAGCCTGACCTGTTTTTCCTTTTCTTTCTAGCATACAGAAATGCTGCAGAAATAGTTCAGTACGGAATAAAAAACAACACCACCTTTCTCGAATGCACACCCAAATCTCCTCAGGCTTCTATTAAATGGCTGCTACAGAAGGACAATGACAGGAGGAAAGAGGTGAGTAATGTGAGCAGTAGCTCTGGGAGAGACCTCAGTCAGCATCTCATCTGATCCCCAGACCAAGGCCTGGGAGCATTTGTGTTCTCATCAGACAGTCTGGCTACAATGAAGCTGGAGAATTTGTGTGGATGCAGGACAGTGGCTAGTACTTTATTCTTATAAATAATATTCTTCACTCCTCAGCCTCAGTGATTTCTATCAGATATGAATAGCTTTCAGAAAATCCCTGTCAGACCCTAAAATCAGGGAGCTACTTAATGAATTTTTCCTTCACATCTTACTAATTGCAAAGTGAAGGTTTGCAGCACTCAGGACTTCTTATTGATCTGAGGAAACAGGCATAAAAGCAATAACCTGTATAAAGGTCAGGAATGTGTCAGCACTAGCCCTTCTGTGCTATTGAAGAGGTAAAAGGCAGAAGTGGGAGAAATGTGGGAGGTTTCTTAAGGAAGAAACTAGCCCGGACTAGGAACAAGTATTGACAAAAACATTTCCCCACCATGGTGAAATCATATTTCCCATTACTGCACTCTCTAAGGCTCTCGATTTCAGCACTGTAATATATAGTATGCTTGTTTATGGGGAATGTGCCTTCCTGAAGTAATATAAAAGGGGAAAAAATCCATTTCAAATCCAAGGTAGTTACTATATGAATAAAAAGAAACATCTTTCAAAAGGAACTATTAAGTAATATGTTGTCTGTTGATAGATTAGAAATACTGAAAAACATTATTCTCATATCAGGCTATTTTCCAAAATCACAGAGGGCTTACAAGCCTTTCCCTGAGTCTTTCATGCTGTTTTTCTCACTCTTCTAAGACTCAAGCCATGTCCTGGCAATCTTGGTGCAATTCTTTAGCCCTTTGCTTCAGCAGAACATCTCTCTTTTTTCTTCTTATGTTCAATAACTGTATTAGAATCAATGCAGTTTTAAAGAACAACAAAAAAGCTAAAGCAATCAAAGGATTAATTGCAGTTTGAGCTCTCAGATTTATGGAAATATTACCTCCAAATTGTCTAGAAAAGCCTACAATGACAGAATAACATAATAGAGAAATGGATTCCCAAGAGAATTGGGTATTATGCAAAGAGCAGTGGCAAATTAGAAAAATCATTCATAAAAACGCCGGCACCAGAATACCAGTATTCTTTCATAATGGGTTAAATGAGCAATTTTACTTCACAGCTAATATACAGAGGGACATGTGCAGTCAGTTATAATCGCATGATCACAGGCTATGGTAACTTACGTCCTTCAGATGATGTGGCCATTTCCTGGGACAGTCCAGAGTCTGAAGCTAGAAAATAAATAGAAGAGTAGAAAAATTACACTTGGTTTCCAGTGATCCAAGTCCCACTTGAGACCAATGCAATGAAAACTTTTAGACAAGGCTATAGACTCTGCAGTGTAGAGTTCTTCAGAAGTTAGCCCCAGGAACTTGCTCAAAGTCAAAATATTTAACTAGAAGCCACCCTGTGTTCAATGACAGATCAAACCCCAATGCAGCACCTTTCTTCCACAGTCTCAGCAGCAGTCTCTGATGTCTGAAGAGACATTCTTGGGGATGTAACCTTGGCAGATAAAAGCTTGTTTCCTTAGCTCCACTATTTGAACATTATGAAAACTCCTCTTTCATGTAGTCTCCAGGTTTGCATCTTTGTCTTCATCCTGACCAAATCTATTGCAACATAACAAATAAAAATATTGCAGTCATTTTCTTTAGTGACACTTACCTACACTGAGGTAAGTTCTCTCCTAACAGCAGTAACAATGGTCTCTGGGAGATGTGAGAAAGCAAAATATAGTATCTTTAACAAACTGTTTAGGGAAGAAAGAGGTGTTCGGAGTAATACTTACCAAGAGGCCTAATATGTGGTGTCCCATAACATTGCCTAAAGAGTTCATTCTGCCTTTTTGCCCTTTAGGTCAAGCTGAATGAGAGGATCATAGCTACTGAGCAAGGACTCCTCATCCGCTCTGTCCAAGACAGTGACCGGGGGCTTTACCACTGCATTGCAACAGAGAACAGCTTCAAACAAACCTTAGCAAAGATCAATTTCAAAGTGTTGGATTCAGAGATGGTGGCCTTCATGACTGACAAGTGGTCCCCTTGGACCTGGGCCAGTTCAGTGCGAGCGCTGCAGTTCCACCCAAAGGACTTTGTGGGAGCTTTCAGCCACTCAGAAATGCAGATGATTAACCAGTACTGCAAGGACAGTAGACAGCAAGGCCAGCAGAGGGAAGAAACCCAGAAGATGAGAGGGGACTACAGCAAACTGAAGGCCCTTATCAATAGCAGGAAAAGTAGAAATAGAAGGAATCAATTACCTGGATCTTAATTTTATTTTGTAGTAATAGATATCTTTGTCCTATAGAAACCTTTGTCCTCTAGGGGGCCTATTGAGAACAAATTTGAGCAAAACTGATAAAAAATTTAAGCAAAATTTCAACAAGGCTCAGAAAAGATCCTTCTCCCAATAAAATGCAGTGTAACTTATAGAAAGAAAACAAATCAGAGCATTTTCATTCCTAGATGCTTACGGCTGGGATTTGTCCTAGAAGCAAAATTGGGCATTCATCTTAAACCAGGCTCAGATTTAACTTCTCAGTATTTAATTACAGCTGAACAGAATTTTTTACAAAATCACTGAATTGTCTCGCAACTCTGGAACTGTACCAATCAGACTGGTGGTGAAAGAATCTGGGTTAAGAGGCATGCTCAAAGTAGAATGGTACTAAGATTTCCTTGCACTGCATTTAAGAACACGAGTGTCTTCTTTGCTGTTCAATAGGGTTTTACAACCTTCACTCATTGTTCAGGTCATGTGAACGCATGCTGATAGGAAGCAAGTAAAGTGTAATAGAAATGTTTCATTCATTCAGAGGTCAAATGAAGGAATGAGGAGAAGAAAAACAACAACAGCAAAATTTACTTTATCAGAGGAAACACGGATTATTGTGCATAGTATGAGTTTTAATAAATTAATGCGTTCTGGAATGTATATTAAAATATCTTGGCTCATATTGTTTTTTATTAAAATAGGGTATCCTATAACACTACATAGCTTTATAAGTGGCACAAAGCTAGCATGAGAATGTTCATTATACATGCAATTTTGAAAAACACCTAAGTGACTTAGGTATTTTAGCTATTTTTCAAAGAAATACACTCTGAATTTTTTTCAAAGGACAGAATGTGAGTATACTGTAACATGTTTACTCAGAAATTAAAAATATAGATTATCTTTAATCTGTTCCATGATTAAATTGGAGCAGGTTAGCCATGTGGAAACAAGTCATGAGTGTCTTTGAAAATTTTAAAATATTATTTTTTCAACTGTTTCTCAAAGTTACAAATATTTTAACTAGAACTTTTAAATTAAACTATTTCCATTTTCTATTCTTTGTACTCTTTTTCTTTTCAATGTTATATTCACAGTTTCCTCTTTTTCTTTAGTTTTCTGTGGAAAACATCAGGAAAAGAAAAAAAAAAAACAAAAGAATGAGGGAAAAATAAAACTTGAAAATGGGTTTGGGTCAAAAACCAAAAAGTAAAATAAATTGAGAGGCATGTTTAAACCAAAATATTTCTGTTTAAGAAGCAGCGGTCAGGTATAACGAAGTACGTTTAGTAATTGGATAAATGTGCATCAAGCCATCCTGGGCAAAACTATCTTTTTTCTTTTTTTAGCAGCAGTAAAACCATAATACCAAAAAACAGGGACAACTCTTCCTCATTTTGCTATGTAAGAGTGTTCCAGAAGCCACTGAGTCTGTTTGAAGGAGATAGATGACAGGGATTAAAAATGTATGAGTACCTTAGAAAAATTGTCGTTTATTCCATGATATTTTATGATAGTATACAAAAATATAGACTATCATTCAGCTCAAAACTGACCTTTGTTTAATTTTTTTTTAAAAAAAAGGGAAAAAATTGAGTAAAAATGATTTCTGAATCCAGAGAAAATAATAAAAGTTATTTTTAAAAAGTTGTTAGTTCCAGCCAGTTACAGATGGATACTATATTTTAAAACATAGTTTTAAAAATTTTAATGTGGCTTTGTTGAAACTCTTCGGGCATTATTTTGATTCTATTTCTATTAGAATACTCTGGGAGTACATGTTCTCCTACAGGACATAGGAGAACATGTCTTGAGCTTGTGCCAGTGTGAATTAAGATGTAGTACAATGGAGATAATTCTGCCAATTACCTGATATCATCTAGAAGTGTCACTTTATCCTTTATAACCAGCTAAAGCAGAATAGATGGGAAATTTGTCCTAACTGATCACACTACTTAAATACTGTCTGTTAAGTCCCTTTGACACTGGTGGGAGCTCTTTGACTTCATGTGCTTACTGCTTGCTTCAAAGAGGGTGGCAATGCCAGCCTGCTCTTGTGTTGCCATCTAGTTAAGTACTTTCCTTAGTAAGGGCCCAAATGCATATTTTTGCAATATGAAGCCACTGCTATATAAGGTCCTTCTTATATCACCAGAAAAGAGACCTTAGAAAAAGCAATAGCACCCAGATGGAAAAAATCTCCAAACCACCAGAAAACTGTCTTTGACTTCAGAGAGCTTGGATCTACGCCCAAGAGCTGGCTGGCAAAGTTAAAAAAAATAATAAAAAGGAAAATGAGATTGGAAAATAAGGGATGTGGGATTTGATTTTTTCCCCTAGCTGACTTTCAGTGCTGCAAACTACTTTTTTTTTTCTTTTTTTTTTTTAATTCCTGAGGATGACTGCCTTCTGAAGTGTGCAAGTGACAAACCAAAAATGGAGTGCCACAAAATAGAACTACCTCCTGGAATGACATTAGTGCATATTCTCTGTATGCTGCCATGCTCTTCCTATGTCCCCAGCAGATTCACAGCACACTTAGTACGATATTAACGTCTATTGTGAGGATCATAATTGTTTCCAGATGGAATACCATGATTAATAGGCATTTAAGGGTACAATTAACGTGGTTCACTTTAAGTGGTTAGGTACAGTGATATTTTAATAGGCCCCCATTAGGCCTCAGAAATTACAGTTACACTGTTTTCTAATAGAATATTAGCAATAAGGGATTCCGTCAGAACAATCAGCATAGCTCAGAGTTTCATATGATTATAAAATAATATTTTTAAAGCTGCTTCATATACCATTGTTATGGTATGACTGTTTAAGGGATTATACTTAAACTAACGTTTTTCCTGCTGCATGAAAACTTCACCGTGTATGTAATAAGCTCCTCTCAGTGCATAACCAGTCCAAGCTTCCATGCTTTAGCAGCCTTCTCCTGTGTATAGTGTAGTCAGGAGCCAGATGCTCAGCTGGTATAAACTAGTGTAACTTCGTTTCTCTCCATTTAGCTACTGTGGTTTATACCAGATGAGGGTTTGGCCCTAAATGTACAGAACAGACAAACTGCAATTTCTATTTGTTTGAAGTAGCTCCTCTACTGTAGGTAACACCAAAACTTAAGACTGTAATATTGTCTGTGCTATTTAATACTTCCTATTTTAAGGATTACTAAATAATGTATATAATTTTATTCCTTAAAAAATACAAAAGCAAAATGACTTCTAGGCATAACTTCACCAAATGTAAAGATATGTTCTCTGCTAAGAACTTCACCAGGTACTGATATTTTTTTGGCTCTTTATTTTGTGTAGTTTGTAAAGTTTGCTGAAATCTTGACCTAACAATGTGTTCTTTGCAATTGTTGTTACTGTAGATATGTGTGTTTTATTAAGAAGATCTTGTTTTTCAAAGTGTAGGTATGTGTATAAGATCCTAGCATGATGAAACTGTCGTTACAGTGAATATGCATTATGTAGTGTGTAAGAAAGAATAAAATGTAGTTTAACATAGTGCTATTTAATTGAATATCTAAAATACTATTTGCCTGACAAAATAAAGTGTGTTGCAACAACTGAAAAAAAAATTGTTGTTTGCTTGTTTATATATATGTGTAAAAAAGATAAGGAACTTTTTTATCTCAAAAGCACTCCCATAGACTTTCTTAAATAAATCCAAGAAAATACTCGCAGCATCAGGTGTTGCAGCTGATCATTTCTGAGCCCGCCCTGCACTGGATCCTCAGTCACAGAGATTTCCAGGAGCATATGAAGAGTCAGAGATTAATTCTTTCAGAAATTATCCCATGTAGAAACATTACATATAAACAGATTAATATTTATTTGTTGCAAAAAAAAAAAAATAAAAATAAATAAAATTTGTTTTCTACTAGTATAAAGTCAATCAGAAATGCCAGACTAAAAAAGGGAAGTGAAGTGTAAATCATTTCTGCTTTTCTTTCACTGAGGAGAAAACAAAACAAAACAAAACCCAACCCACCTCCAAATATCAACAAAAAACCCCACGTGCATTCTGTGACATCCTACCAATGAATCAGCTTCAGCTTCAGTCGGGACGGGGTCATTCTCCAAGCACCTCTGCAGGGACAGCGGCTGGTGGGGCTGCACCACAGGGAGCTGCAGCTCTCTCCCATCTCCTCCTGGTTTGTACTCACAGCAGAAGAACCTGCCTGACACCTACAGCATGCTCCTTTTTCCTGCCTCTATCATCCAAGCAGTGCTATTACCACTCTTCTTATGGTCTGTTTTTCCAGACGGGTCTTAACAAGAAAGCACGAGACCTCCTCAGTTCTTTGGGATAATAATTAAAAATTAAATGTCACAAATACTGACCCGCAGAACAAGGTTCTTGATCACTAAACCAGGATTTTGATTCCCCAGATAGACAGGTTCCTGCAAGGCTTTATGAGGTGTGAGTTGATAAAATTACCACATTCTGGGATTTCCGTTCTGGCTGCTTCTTAGATGTGCTGATACTGGATGGTTACTTGCTTAGCACTCAGGCCAGTTTGGGTCAGAAGATGAGGTCTTGAGCACTCCCACATGCTGTAGGAAATGTTTGGATGAGGCTCCAGAAAAGCTAGGCATTTACAGAGTTTTACATTCTGCAAAATCTTTCCCAGATCAGATCTCTGTCTTTAGATCCTGCTCAACTGCCTTTTACTGATCTTCTCCCCCTTCTTTATTTTTCCTGCTCCTGCAGGGTTGCAGCATGTTTAACACTAATTGCTTGGATTTCTTATCCCTGAGCAGTGGCAAAAGACACAGGGCTTCTCCAGGCATCAGATATGAGATCTGAGATTTCTCCTTTCTCTTTAAAATATATATTGGATTTTTTTTTTTTTTCTCCCATCTGGGAGGTACTGCTTTTTTTCTGTCTTCTGGTGTCAAGACCTTTCTAAGGTCTCCCTTCAAGGAAAAGCAGGTTGCAAACGTCACACACTTACAGAGTCTGTTGCAATGCATGTACCT